TAAGGTAGTTGAGAAGAAATCACCTAACGTGTACGAACTCAATGATTTCGAGTCAGGTAGACGATTAGGTCAATGGCATATTCAGGATATTAAAGTTGATTAGGTAGTCATTTTTTTTTTAAGTGAGGGGGGAGTTGTTACGTTTGAAATTTGAGACACCCGGTAAACTCATGTTGATGGCAAAATACGAAAGTGTGGAAAAAAAAAGGAACGACGCACCGAGAGAAAAAAAGGCAGCGCGATAAGCCGTGACCGCGGTGATCGCTCTTAAATTTTGCACGAGTTATAACTAGGTTGCTTAGTGAACAGAAAAGTTATTCTGGCGTTTTACGGATTTTTCACTTTGCATCCCGCTTTGGCGACTTTTGTGGTACTCTGGTTGTTTTAAGAAGTTCCAAAGCTTATCTTGAATAGATATTGGGTTTTGTAGAGAAACGTCTCGTGTTTTGGGTTTGTTTTTTTGTGCTGATACGAGGCGTTTTTCTTTTTTTTGGCAATTTGCTTTTTGTGGTCCCGGACGGATACGAGAAACAGAAGGTTGCTATTTATCCGGAAAAGGCCATGTATTGGTTGATATTAGAATAGTACGCCTAGAACATCCGGGAAATTGGGAAGAGCAAACGCCTTAGTCTCGGGAATCTTCGGAATTAACCTGAGAGTTCTACACCGACGTCCGTACTCCAGATAAGTACGTAAGTAAGAATTTGTTTTTTTATTTTCGCATACACGTAAAATGAAATAAAACGATTCAACAAAAAGGACTGGTGTAGTGCCCAACTTAAGTTTTATTGCGAATTCTATAATTTTGTTTGTACATCTAAGATATTACCTGAACGATGAGTTGAAAAGAGGTTATTGACGGTACCTTTTTTTTGTCGTTAAGGGGTTACCCTCTTTTTATACTCGTCTATACTCTCGAAAGATTATTTACGCTGTAGGAAAATAAAATGTGTAAAGTTGTTTAATATTGCGATCTTGTATACCGATCCCAGTGCGGCGGATAACTCTTCCCCCCATTTCGACATTAAATCGAATAACTGAATGTCATGGAGTGTTTTTGTTCCTTTTTTTTGTAATAACCGTAGCTAATGTCACCAGTGCGAATTAGGTTTGGTGATGTCAGTGTTTTAAGGGGTATATAAGTAAAAAAATCACCTGGCGCCCTATAAAAAAAAAATACTCTTTATAAGTTGGTACTTAAATCGTGAATTTACCCACTCCCGCTCCGGCTGTAGCTGAGCGGCGCATACCTCTCAAATGTTTCCTGGTTGGTGATACGGCCACGGAAAAAAAAAATAAATAGGCAAATAGGAACAATATTTCTCGTTATAGGTAACATAATGACCGAGTAAAATGTTATTGTTAGTACACTCGGCATTTTCTAGTTGTAATATATTGTTCTGTTATCCAGTTATACAATGTGTCCCGCTTCTCTAAATATGGACACAGCTCCTATTATACCTACAGCACAGATTAAATTGGGAAAGTTTTAGAGAAAATATTAGCGATCTAAAATGGTTATATTGACACTTGTCCAAATGTGACAATATTCAGACAATTTTTATGACATGTCTCGATCTCGCACTGCCCTTTAACTTTTATTTTTCTTATGGCCGCCATATTGGATTTTTCGATTTTTTGAAATAGCGAAAAATTTCCAGTTCAGTGATGTTTCGCAAATGCAAAATAGTGTAATATGTAATGAGTGCGGTAAACGGCATTTGACTTAAAAAGTTTACCGAAAGTGTTACCTACTATACTTTTGCTACTACCTTTAGTTTTTGGGTACATTTTCGCAAAACAACGACGACTTCTCAAAAAGTCAGATGTTTTGGGCAAATTACCTATTGTATGTTTAAATAAAAAAAAAGTCAGAAATGTCGTTTATTTAATTAACACTTGAACAACCTACAAGTACTATACAAATTGAAAAAGTAGTCTAATGTAAAGTTTTATTGTGTTAGTAACTACTTAGTAATTTCCATATTTGCAAAATACTCCGAGAAACTTTTGGCAACTGGTGAAACTTATATATTTTAAAAATGAAAATTTAGCAGGTACAATTTCGTAAAAAAAAATCGAACCAACTATATTGGATATTTTAAATTTTTGAAAAATTGAATAGACAACGAATCGATGATAAACCTAAAACATCAAAGAACACTCACTACTCCTACAAAGCGTCACACGCCGGGAAAGCTGAGACCAAACTACATTTCTTATCTACTACAAAAACAATGTGTTTTCGATAAATTTCTAATAAACTTAACATTTCCGGTCACATATATTGTATAATTTTTGTTTTACAGATTTTTAGATGCACGTTCTGCTCTTAAATTTTCTTTACTGGCTTCCTATAACTGGAAATCCACTGTACAGTCGGTTCCGTTATTGATAGTTTTACGGCGTTTCACAATTATTAATAAAGCTAATTTACCATGAAAGGAAAGGGGGCACAAACAGGAATGTCGTAGCTATCTTGATTTTTAGAGACAGGGTGATAATGAAATTGTTGCATTTTCAGACACCCACCCGTTTTTTTTTTTGTTTTGGTGAAAACTGTTCTTATTTAAAATCCAGTGGTGTAATAAACCTAAAATATCAAAGAACACTCACTACTACAAAACGTAACACGCCGGGAAAGCCGAGGCGAAACTAAATTTCTTACCTATTACAAAAAATCGTAACTTTTTTTTTAAATTTTAGCCCTAGCTACGTGCTTGACTACTCCTGTCTACAGCACAAGATAACAGTTCAGGTCCATTAATAAAATAATTTTTATTTCGAAAAGTATGCATGAGAGTACAGAAGATAGCTTTTAAGCACCGTCAATTTGATTTTTAGAATGTAGTCTCACATTTTTGTCAAAAGTCACTAAACACTTTCCCTAACGGACGCAACTGTGTTTTAGAAAACCATTTTATACTTGTAAAAGTTAGCTTCGATAATACATTCGGGTGTACTAAAATTCATTTAGATACCTCAATGTGTTTTCGATAAATTTCAAATAAACTACAAAAAATCACATATCACATGGGCACATATATTGTATAATTTTTGTTTTACATATTCTTAAATGTACGTTCTGCTCTTAAATTTTCTTCACTGGCTTCTTGTAATTCGAAAGCCACTGTACAGTCGGTTCCGTTATTGATGGTTTTACGGCGTTATTAATAAAGCTAATTTACCATGAAATGAAAGGTGGCACAAACAGGAATGTCGTAGCTATCTTGATTTTTAGATACAGGGTGATTATGAAATTGTTGCATTTTCAGGCACCCACCCGTTTTCTTTTTTAATTTTTCTTACGTAAAATCCAGTGGCGTAATCATGTTTCTTCCGAAACTCCCGAATTTTGATGTACCAACTAAACTTCTGTTGTCTTTTAATAATTGGCTTGTTATGAACTTCAAAAATATGTAACACATAAAACGTATTTTTTTCCAATATTGTACATACACGCAAGTTTATTTTGACGAATTTTTTGTAATAAATTATGTATTTTTTTTAATGTTTATTTTCCATGGCCTACTCATAAAAATTATAAAATTTAAGATATATGCTTTGTATTTGAAATAGTTTTTATCTGTATAAAATTATTAAAAGACATACTTGGTGTTGCATTTAAAAAAGCTCAAGTTTAGTTAGTTAGGTAGTTAGTTTAGTTTCAGGAGAAAATTGAGTACCTTAGTGGATCTTATGTAAAAAATCGTATCCAGTTTTCCATAATTATTACCCATAACAGAACTACAAAGGGTGATCACGCTGTATCTAAAATCCAATTCGTGAAAAAATGGGGACACCGAAGCCGTAATACACTAGGAGATACGTCGTCGAACCATCAAAAATGGTGTTTCAGGAATAGACAAAAGACTACAATGAAACAAAAAAAATAGAAATAGAATAGAAATAGAAGAATTTCCTGAATTTCATCATGCTCATTCTAGTCATAACATTTTATACCTGAAGCTCTAGGTGCAGTAGGTTTCTAAATATGGAGCGTGGTCCTTAATGAACGAAGCTTTACATTTTGACGGAGCAGGTCTAACTTTACGGCGCATTTATCTCCGTCTTCGAGAGAAAATAGCCTATTGGATATCTCCAGCTAAAACGAATATTTAAGACTCAAACCTGCAATAAGTTGAGCACGTGCTATGTTCGTCGGGACTATAATAACACGGTAGTAAACGTGGTGTAGAGGCAATTCCGAAGGAAGATTGCCTTAACAGCTTGTGACTATTTTATGGAATAATAGGCTCGCCTTTGGATGAACGACGTTACATCTCTAGGGAGCAGTTATTGCTCTCTTGTTATGTTTGTTTAATAGGAAAGCGAATAAAAATTGTCTCGTTTCTCTTATTATGTGTATACAGTGTGATTCTGCAGTAATCGCGATGTGGCATATCTAAGAAACTAATAACATAAGTAGGATTTTGGGGCGTAATTGTTATGGTATAAGAAAATGACCTCTTCTGGGAAATTTTGCGAAACGGTCTGTTAGTATTAAGAAAACGATTTTTGTTATAAATGAACTTTTTCATTATATTATATTGGTAATAAGATCGATTGAAATGTTCGGAGTAGAGAATAACAGCGCTACAAAAGAGACGCTCCTTAACAGTTAAATAAGATGATTTAAATTTTACAGGGAGAAGTTAATTGAATACTTTAGTCAGTTAACAACTACAACTGCAATATTTGCTTAATTGTAAAATCAACTGGTAGGAACTTTTTTGGATTATTTAAAGTTGTAAATTGAATGAACAGAAAATGTCTTTAGAAATATAACTTATAATCAGGAACAAACTTGCATACCCTCATGTATACGTCCCACATTGCCAGGGAAATTGTCGTTACTGCTTTTTATAATTAACGCACTTTTTACGTAACGAGATCCTTAATTTTGAACGACACGAAAATGCGCGTGTAAACATCTACGAGAATCGTGAATCGATTTTCAATTAATTTTAAATTACCTGCTCGTCTCTCGTCTTTTCCAGTTCCACCCCAGAAGATAGTCATCACGAATGAATCCGGGGCAGCACTGACGTCCGTAGTAGGGCCGTTTCCTGAGGGGGCGTCTTTCACCCTCAGATGCGACGTTTACGGAGGTAAGATTGACAACGCTGCAAATTAATGTTTCCGTTCATTTATTTCTCTCCTCGAAGGCTTATTAGACGAGATGAGTTTTTTCTGTTTGTCGTTCATCGTCGCCAATTTTTGCGGTTGCCACTTTTTGCATTCTTTTAGGGCAAACTTTTTTGGGCCGCGGTTAATAAATGGCGGTACGTGAATCCACGATAGCAGGGAAGATTCTCGTATTCAAATTAATTTATAGTTTAGATTAGTTCAAATATCTGCCTAACAATATGTGCATATTTAACAAACTTCAGCCTGGATACAATTGCCTACGTTCCTATCTAATTTACTAAGAAATCCTATTCTAAAAAGTTGCTAATAAATTTGTACAGCAAGGAGCATAATGCATTCTCTAAACCTGCAACTTCATTACCTCTGTGTTCCTCGTGGAAACATGAATGTGGTTAGAGACAGGAAAATATATCGTATGAGCTCAAAAAACATTAATATTAGTTCATCTATGAATCCCGGGTAATCTTCGGCTGGGCAGGTGTTATAATATGCATCTACATTTGATTCAATCCACGTGAAACTTAATTTCCATGAGACAGGGAAACAGCAGCGTAAATAGGAATAACGTGGTTTGCCCTTTTTATGTTATTTTTATGTTAGGCGGTGGCAGCAGTTGATTGTTAAAATAAATTAGAAAATAATTATTTTATGTTTGCTTCTGTGAATATTTGTCATTAAACACCTCATTCACATACAGAGAAACGCAATGGTACAGAAAAGTAGTATCTATATGTACCATATTTACCTTTGCTTTGTTTTTTTTTCCTAAGATTTTGCATGAAATCAACAGACAAACATTATAAAAATATTTTCTATTATACAGGTTGTTTCATAAAAGCGAGAGAGAGTGAGCGATTGCAAACAGCGCCTGTTTCCATGTTAGGAGCGGCTAAAAATTATACTTAAATTATCAAGTTTCAAAACGACACTACCTCAGGTGAGTAGCCCGCAAGGGTCAGAATCTCACGCTGCACTATCAGCCCGTTCTGAGGATTTTGGGCCATACAATAATTTTACTAGATTGACAAAAGAGACCACAAATAAAACAAAGACACCTGAAAATCGCAACATATAATGCTAGAACATTCTCTTCGAAATGCAAAGAACTCGGATTGGAAGATGAACTGCAAAACATCAGCTGCGACATACCAAGTCTTTGCGAGGTAAGACAGAAAGGTTAGGGCTAGGAAACACTTAAGTCTGGCCATGCGCTTTACTATGTAGGAAAACAAGATAAAGTATTGGATTCCTGATAAACAAGAAACACACAGATAACATCGTCGGCCTGAAAGTCATATACCAGTATACTAAATTAACTAACACGAGTTGCCAATTTAGTACTAAGATTGAATTCAAATTCACCGTTAAGGTCATTCAAGCATACATCCTTACATCCACGTGTCCTGACAAAGAAGCTGACCTGGTGCTACAAGTGCTTTGGATGAGAAATGAACCATTAACCATCTGGGAGAGACGCTTCTTAACTTCTTGCTAGAGAGAAACCTGTTTTCAATGAACAGTTTTTCATACACGACGCCCAGACGGAAACACTGAGAACGAGATTGAACAGTAATAGGCCGTGTATCAGTTGAAAATGATCACCGAATGGTTAGACCGACTCTAAGAGTTAACTTAGAAAAAAAAAACATCTTCACGGAAATATTTGAAAACATACCTATTAAAGAATTAAATCAACATATCACAAACTCTATCCTAGAAGCTACAAAAAAATTCTATCTAAAACAGAAGAAAGGAAATAAACTCTCCCAATATAAAAGATCGTGATAAACAGGAGAAATGCCAGCAAAAATTACATTTTAAAGTACTAAAGGAGAAAAACTGAGAGGTAGCCAAGAGAAAAACTACTTCGGATAGTTGCTGAGTGCTTTAATATACTATATCAGAGCAGCGAAGAGTTGAAAGAAGGAAATAAGAAAAGTTACTGGCGTCATCAATCAAAGGTCGGAGGAACTACCTGAGATCACTGTGGAAAAAATTGAAATCAATTACACCATGACCGAAGCAAAAAAACTTGGAGAAAGAGTCCTAATATATCTCTGCCCTTTTAATAAGTTTGTCCCGGCGAGTTGGAACGATATGTTAATGATACTAATGTTCAAAAAGAAATATACAGCAATTGTAGAAAACTACAGACCCATAAGCTTGCTTTTCCACTTTTACATCTACCATTTACTGTTTACTAAAATAATAAACAGTAGAGCAAACGGGATTTCGGTCAGGCTACAGAACAAACGATCACCTACTTGCACTTACATTCCTAATAGAAAAAATGACAATACAATAGATCCTTCGTTCTTATTCTTGTGGAATTCCAAAAATCATTGGATATAATTGAAACGAATGCAACATTGGCAGCCCTTAGTCAATGCCGTAATCGACTATAGATATAATCGTCTAGTCAATGGTATCTAAAGTGAGTCGCATGCGAGTATTAGACTCCATAAAAACAGCCAGAAATTTCCCATCGAAAGAGGAGTTACACAGGGCGATACAATTTCACCAAAGCTATCTCAAGACATATCAGAATGGAATCGTTTGGGAAAAGTCCACGCTCAGCAGTGGACTCAACAGACTGGATGATGATGAAAATGATTCTTAAAAGCGTCGAAATATAAAAAAAAAAGTTTTTAATGACACACCCCTTATTTATGTGCCTATTACTATTTGCCCAAATAATGTTTATATGACAGAGCATGTGTTTATGCCTCTCAAGACCATGTTGCCAACGTATTGGAAAACAGAAAATATTTTTAAAAGCATGCTAACCAAACAATTTTTCCAAAATAGTGATAAATAGGGAATAGTACTTTGCCAAACTATGCCGTCACTCTGTGTACTCACAAATATTGCTAGGGCTTAAAAAATTAATCATTAAAAAAAACTAAAAAGGATTTGTTGATCCTCTACCTTTTTTAATTACATTGGCGTATTGACCAATAAATACTTAAAAATAAAAAAATAGTAACAAAACAAAAATTCTAAAAAAAAACAAAATAAAACTGCATATCGAAAATGTGCTAAAAACCTGGTTTCTCCGGAACAGCGGGTCGCACCTTAGGATTGCGACGTATTTAAAGAAGAACTTCACAAACATCAAGAGATGTCTATATTACCTTATAATATTTTTGTGTATACCATTTTCAGGAGAAATTTTTGGTTGCCTAAATTATTTTTTCCAATTTTAAACTCTACCAACTAAATTAATTTTAAATAAAAGCAAGAAACCTGCAGCGCTTTATATTCTCCTATATAACTACGAGCTAGGTTAAGTGGAATATAAGTCATATATTTAGATGCATAATAAATCTATCAAAATTAAATTATCAGAGACAGACTAAGGAACATTTTGCCAAACGAAATTCCTTGATTGTAGCATTTCCTTTCTGGTACATTTATTTCTAGTTTTACAATCAAAAAATTGCGGGGTTCAATCAAAATGAGTGTCTTCCGAATTCACTTGCTCTTGTCTAGATTGCGTCTCTATTTTAAACTAATAATACCTATTTTATTTTCGCGGAGTAAAAATAGAGGTTGCTTACCACCGATATGAAAAGAAAATGGGCGGCGAGCTCGGAAGAGCTTGAAAGTGGACTGTAGGCTTTAAGAATTTAGAAATAATACCGATCGCCAAACGGGCCGCTAAAGAAGTTTGAGGTCTCACCTCCGCCTCCGTCTCCTCAGCAGGCCTGCTTCCTTTTTGGTGTAAGTTCTGCTACTCAATTCGCAGAACTGACCGGGTGTTACGCCACGGACAACATAAACGCACAACGAGAATCTTATGAATTAAAGTTCCCTTCGCGGAAAACGCGCAACTGATCTCGCTGCTACTGCACACGGAATGAAAAATTCACTCCCGATCGGCTTAACGCAAAAAAAAACTTTAACGGCCATACCGCGGTAAAAAATGTTCCAGCAACTTAAATTTTTATTTGAGTACGCACAAAATTATTTGTCCCAAAAACCCGACTAAACATAAAAAAACTTTCTCTCTTTGCAAATTACCAAAAAATAAAATAATTAAAAAAAATTTATATATACAAGGACAGATGTGTGATCTGTCCAATACCAATATTGGCGTTTTTATTAGAACACCCTATAATTCTGTGAATTTTTAGCTAATATTGAGTACTATGTCTACTTATGCCAATGGCCTGAATGAAACCGTAACCATGAGTAACAATAAAAAATTTCTTAGTTCATTTCTGATAAATTAATTTTATTATTATTTAACCGACCCATTATTTTTAAAGTTTTAAATGTTACCGATATAATCCCATTGAAAATGTCTCCATCCTGTATATAGTTTTTGCTTGACAAATAATATAACTAATAATAACTATAAAAATAATAGAACCCAAATGTTATTTATCGAAACCGTAGCGCCCTTTTTACAATCCGATAAGTTACCAGTCCTTCATGTCCCCTATTTCGATTGATTCCCAATATTTGTAATATCGTTTTGTCGAGGCAACAAGAGAAACGAATTGGCTTTTATTATCATTGAGTTTCTCGTTTACTTCGGTTTGATACGTTAAAACTTCCAATTTTGTTTGTACTGCGCGACAAAAACATTGAGCTAATACAATGGGGAATCAGGTCAGTCAAAGAGAATGTCGAGCTTTTAACTCGCTCCTTTGTTGGTTTTAGAAAATAGGTTCTTGGTGAAATTGAGAGTTTAGTAATTTCTTCAGAGGGTGAAAGGCTCGTTTTTGTGTAACCTGCATCGGTATTTTAATCTCGTCAGAGGCAATATTTAAAAAATTCATACTACTATCTCGCTTTTCACATCAACATTCTCGCATTACATGGTTTTCTATTCCTTCTCGAGCTACCAGATTCAAATATACTATAAGACGAAGCAATTGAAATAACCAGTAAATCTAAATATGCTTTGAAAATAATTCGAATAAAGATTTGATTGAGTTGACTGTTACTTGAT